GATTTCAACGCGGGATTCCCGCAATGGCGAGGTCTGGCGGAAACACTGCATTCCGATGGTATTGTTGTGAGGTAAAATTGGAAGTTGTTATTTTGAGACTTTTTCAGTTTAGCTTTTCGTTTTGTTAAGCCTTGCCTTTTGCGCTTGCGCTTACGTGTTGTTTTGGTAGATTTGTAGTTTTGATCTTTTATTTTTAGCGTGTACTTGAACTAGGCTCAGTTCGCGGATTTCCTTCTTACCGTGTCAGACATTTTAATTGTTTATTATAGGTGAGAATAATTATTTTCATAGGTGGTCATGTTTGGGTTGGTAAAACTGACCTTGGGTTTTGTAGTCACTGAAGATCCTGTTTGTGCGTGCGATTCTTCTGCGCAGCTTGATCATTGGTTCCTTTCATTGGTTCCTTGGTGCTCGCCAAGTGCTTCGGAGCGAGCCACCCAGTTTCCCCCACTACAAAATAACGGATGCACTATGGAAACTCTCACGGTCAGCTAACCCAAACATGTCTACGGTTTTCCTATTTAATACGCTAGTATTCCCTCTCTAGAGAGAGAGAAAGGAAGCGTCGCTGTAGTAGAAGTCAACTCGATTGGAAAAGAATAGAAAAAAAAAAAGAGAAGAGTCTTGGTACCTCCCGTTAATTCGGCCGAGCGAGTGTTGGGGCCGAGCGAGTGGTAAAACCCCCAACAGTATATCAACTAGTTGGTTTTTCGTCCTCTTTATAAGCTTTAGAACCAATAACAAATCCAATCCAATCGTGACTCCAGTAATTTAATTTGCTCCGTTCAATTTTATTGTTTCTTCCATCTTTTAACGAAAAATAAGGTTTCGCTTTCGCTTTACGGAAAAAATAGAAATTGTACAATTGGAGGCAGGATTCGAATTTCATGAAAATCCTGATCTCGCTGTCCTCCCATGTCAAATTTGACACGGTAAGCTGATTCCCAACAATCTGTGTTCCGTCTAGTCACTGTTCCAGGAAGATAACTTGAGTACCCAGGATAGTAGCCAATCACGCGCTGAGTAGCGTGCACGTGACTGTATGGTGGGATGACATCCAGGATTATGGCTCTCTTGTCATTGGCTTGATGTGAAATGGACTCCGACTGGTCCAGTTGCACGTCTATGTAAAGTATGTTTCCATGGTAACTTGTTCTTTTCACGAATCCGCGAAAGTAAAAGTCGTCTCTTCTACGAGCAAACACGCGAGCTCCGACTGCAAGAGAAAATAATTTAACAAGCTATTATAAAAGAGCTACAGGCCTAGCCCTGATTGTTCGAACAATGGATAACAATATCCACCGGATCAATCTCAGTACATTTTGTTAACATTTATCCCGGCGCTAGATAGCAATTAACCTGTTGGATAGCATTATGCTCCCTTTAACAACTGAGCCCTGTGTTCTTACAGGAAAATTATCACAGTCTAAGAGTCTTGAAAATTTATCCCAACAATTGAAAGGCAAAATTTCCAATCCATTAATCTCTCTTATAAGGTCATTGTAGCAATCGACTTGGTATAAAAATTAAAGAGGTAATAGAACTGACATTTGTATGTTCACCTTGGTGAGTTGATGAGAAAAAAGGGAGTTTACGTAGCAAATTCAGCGTGTAGTTGTCGACTCTATGTCCTTTGTTCAAAGTAATTTCATACGTTTCCGTAACATTTCCTGAACAAAGATCGCCAGTCACGAAACCAAGAAGGTATTGTTCGCTCGCATTATCTTTTGGTGACGGTGCAATCACGCGATCTCCTAAGCTGGTCCAGTTGGGAGTGGTATCATATACTACTGCCGTGATGTCCTCGTAACTGTATTCAATTTCATTGCCGTTGTCTAGCGTAACAACAAATGTGGCGATGTAATTCTTTGTCACGGTACCTGGAGAATAGGTGTCTGCTTGTCTAGCCAGAACACGTTTTCCTAGTGAAAAATGATGCAAAAGAATAAGATGGTTTAACTGAATGCTCTAACCATCATCAAGCTAATATTTGAGTGATTGTTATTACGACTTTTTTTATTTTCATTTTATCTAGTGTTCTATTTATTTACTTTTTTTATGGAAACTAATGTTGTTGATATAGTGGCCTTTTATTTTAAGCCAGTAAATCAACACAATATTTTTTATATTTATTTGTGGCATTGAGAAAAGTAGAGCAAATTAGAGCGCCGGATTGTGTTGTGCGAGAGGGTTCGAGTCCCGGCCGGACCAATACTCATGGTCTTAAAATAACTGAGGAGAATTTGCTACCTTTCTATAATATCAAGAAATGGATAGATATTCTAGTCTTCTCGGATAAGGACGAATAAATGGTGGTCCCGTCTCCTGCAGGGTTGGGAGTAGGAGACGTTAATTTCCCACGCACGAGATTACTGTGTGGTGGATGTCCTCCCCTGGGGTGTGATGGGTGGGTTTACTGGGCCCGCAGTAATTGGCGAAAGCTGTTGCGGTGTCCCTGCCTGTCGGCGAAGCTAATAAACTAAACTAAGGCAAAAGAACTTTGATGAAAGGTAATACTTATTCTTTAAATGACCCATTAAATCACATCGAGAATTCCAGTCAGCAATACGTGTTTTACCTGGATCAGGAGCAAAAATCTCCATCACGGCAACCAGCAATAGCACTATAATCCTGAGCCATCTTCTCAGAAAAAACATCTTACTACTAGTGGATGAAGAAACTGAACCCTGTTAATATTCATTTAACCGATGACAGGAAAAAAGATGTGGTGATCATAGACCACTTTCATAAATGGCTGCCATATAAATATTCTTTTGTTTAAATTTAAATTAGCCCTACTGGCCTCGCTTGAGATAATGTATTCTTTTGAATTTTGTACTGGAGAACGAGGCCAGTAGGGCTAATTTAAATTTAAACAAAAGAATATTAATCTGGCAGCCATTTATGAAAGTGGTCTATTGAGATATGATAGTTTGTCGGTCAAGGTATGCTCAATGCATTTGAAGACTTTTGTTTTAACCAACAGGTTGTGTATCTAGCGCGATATCAATCGTATAAAACTAGTTATTGTTCTAAGTATTTGACGAGTCTTTGACGAGAGAAGGCTGAGTTAAAATATTTCAAACTGACGCCATTTCATACAGTTTGTTCGCCCCACACTTAAATTGTAAATTTGACTTTGGACCTTTTGCTACTCGCAGAAATTTCCGGAAAAGATCGGTGAAGCAGACCTAGTGGAGGTAGTTTAAGGAAAAGAATCCAGCTGCTACTGCTCTTAGGTACTATCGTCGGCGATGAATTTGGACCTTCATTTGATTAACGACAGTGATGACAAGGGATTTATTTTTGATAGACAACTGCTTAGACTGAACTTTGACTAACTTGATTATAATCAGTAAGAATATTACAAACATTTAAAAAACGATAGCTATAATCTTGTCTTCTAAAAACTAGTTAAGGAGTAGAGTTTTTACTAGTTGAGTGAAATAAGTTCTCTGTTATAACTACTCAACTCCAACGCTGTGTGCTCGAGCTTCAATTGACAACAAATTAAATTAAAAGGGACTGTCTTGGCAAGAAGGCTACACCAGCATTCATGGGAAAACATTGAAAATGAAAGACTGGTGAAAAATGAAACACAAATAGAAAATACTTCATAAGTAGAGGCTGGATAAAACTCCTGGACAAAATTCTCCCAGCCATCTGGCAATTCCCCAACCCCTCGACATTTACAGCGCAATTCATAAAGTTAGTGGTCAGGGTAGATTTCTACGTGGCCGTATATCAGTAAAACTAGAAAATAATGTGCGTATTTGCTTTATATAGAGGTGCGACAAAGGGTAAAAACTTATTAAGTTTCAAATGAAATTGCACTCAAAGCCATGACTTTTTTTAGTTTTACCTGAGTCGGACAGGCAGGGTTTTAACTGTTTCTTACCTGTTTCTCCGACCTGGTTGACGTACAGAGCACATACTGTGTAGCCAAAACATTGATTCTCAATTACATAAAACCCACAGGTGTTTACTCAACATGATCTATTGCAATATGAAATTTGTTTGACAATCGACTAATAACACTCCAACGAAGTGAAGCGCATGAAAGCTAGTATTGATTTCTGAGCGGTGTGCAAGAAAAAGTTTAAAATCAATTAAAATTATCTCTTTCCTCTTCGCGATGGAAAATGGCATAGAAAGTTGAAAAGTGCACTTACCCTTTTAATTAATTCAAGGAGCACAGAGTGCAACACATTTTGTATTATTTTGACATGTTAAACTTTAGTAAATGTCATGTCTTGCGTTTCCAATGCTTTGAAGCCAAAGAACAGTTGGAGAATTCATCTTATAGGGAATACTTTTAGGCTACTGAAAATAGACACGCTTTCAAATTAATATTCAAAAATTATATTGTAGCGTCCTTATATGACTAATTTACTAGAAGACTGCTTTCTATCCTTCAAGCATTACAACAGAATCGATTTGGGCCGTATCTTAGGAACAACCTTTCAACCACAAAATTTCCTTGAAACGGTACTGTGCGAGCAAAAGCAGAAAAAAAGCAGAAAAAAATGTATTTATTTAGGAAATGATTCATAAAGCATGAGCAAAATTGATCAATCGAACGTTTTTGACGAAAAATAAGGATTAGCGATTAAGGAAAAAGCTTAGCGGCCGGCATTTATACGAACCAGATCGTTAACGTTTAGTTGCAAATGGAAATAGGAAAATTCTAGCAACACCGGAGCATTTGTGTGTTTGTCATTTTAGGTGATTTCAATCATTCCACGAATGTCTAACAAAGCATACTTAATTTTTAATTTTAAAGGCGATGAAATTAAAAACACATGGTGAGACGGTAAATAAAAAATTTATTTTGGCACTTTGGGAACGGGTGAGACTTTTTTCTTTAAATTTTCTTTCTTCTTCAGGACTTAAGAGGCTCTTTAAATTGAGAGGAACGTAACGTGAGGGGAAAAAGGCGTTTGATTCTTTGCAGAAAAATGTCTCTACTTGTTCAAATTGTCACTCGCCTCGCCCTGGACTCGGCAGGCCTGATGAAAAGCGAAAACAATGCCTTTTTCGGAAGGTCGATAACCCTTTTAATTAGAAAATTTACTTTTTTTATGAAAAAACAAATAGTTAGAGGCTGTACCTAATAATTATTCCATAAGCGCGCTCAGGGTATGACATGTTAAATCTCGGCCAACGAGGCGAGTAGCACCGAACTGGCTATGATTAATCTTGTATCCAACAAGCGCGAATGAAGTAATTGATTTATTTTAAAATTCTATTTAATTCTGATCAGAAAGTTTTAATATTTGAATCCTGTTTTAAGCTCCGCAGCGGTTGGCGCCTCACATTAGGGACCTTAAGAAACCACGACGACGACGCCAAGGAAGACTTCGATTAAAAAATGAATTTCTACTCTTAGTTAGAATTTCAAAAATGGCTGCAGGAGCTTACTGTCTCATACAGCGCCACAGCTCAACTTCAGCATGACGTATAAAGTAGCCGTTGAGTTCCAAATGGAAATTAAAATAATTTGCCGTCGCGGTTTCGGTTCGCAGACGACGCAAATTTTGGCGATTTCACGTTGTTGTTTTGCATAGGACGGCTAAGAAATGTACAAAGTTTCAAAACGCACGTGCTGAGCTATTGTTCTGCCAATTAGATCTCTTGTTTTTCCACGTCCTCGTTGCCGTCGCCGTCGTGGTT